TATATATATATATATATATATTTACATTATTTTAATATCGTTCTTTTTTTTTTATTTTACATTCATAATTATAAACAATATATTGAAAAAAATATATGATCAAACATATTTGCATTAAACGATGCATTCATGTTTCCAAATAATACAGCACCGAGAACACGTTGCTTTGAATGTTACACAAAGCTATAGTTATAAATATTAAAGAAATTAAGTTTAAAAATATACAATTACAGAATCTTGTTTCTTGCATGTTTAATATAATTTTAAAATGTAAATTTGTGATACGAATAATTAGTATTTGAAAGAAAAAAAAACAGAAAAAACAAATATTCTAATGAAAAAAATACGATTAAGAAACATGCAAGTGCGAGAGAGAGAGAGAGAGAGAGAGAGAGAGAGAGTGAGAGAGAGAGAGTGAGTGAAAGAGAGAAATATAATGCAATGTGAAATATAGACGAAAGTATTTTTGAAATATTTTATCATTTGTGTTCTCTACATGTTTTCTTTCTTACTTTTCATTTTTTTTTTCGATGTGTTTAAGAAAACGATATATTATATAGAAAATTATGAAATAATTTGTAAGCACATTATGCATGTTCTCTGATTTGAAACACGTATAACAGAAAAGCATTAATTTGTTGCATGCAACAGGGCCGACCCGATATCGTCGTAATCAAGATCAAGAAAATGTGCTCATTAATTCAACATGGAGTATTACACCAAGCGGAGGAATCAAAATGTTTGTATAATCACGAGTAACACGTCGTGTGATAAATATTCATTTCTTAGAAATATTCTCCTATTTGTCGTCGTCCTTCTGCTCATCATCAACGTCATCATTATCATCATCATCATCTTCATCTTCAACTTCATCCTCATCCTCATCTTCGTCTTCATCATCACCAACAACACCAGTCATCATCTACATTGCCATTAAAACAAAATAAAAAGGAAAAAAATAAAAAAAAAACATAATAATAATAATAAATAAATTTCTCTATAGATCGATTGATTTGAAAAGGAAAAAGAAAAAAGAAAATAAAATCACAGATTGAAAGAAGAAGACGTACTTTTTAGAAATGAACACATTACGTAACATAGAATCATTCGTAATAATATTATTCATATTGAAATACTACTACTACTACTACTATTACACAACAACAACAACAACAACAACAACCAACAACCAACAAACATGCACACGCATAAAATATACTATTTTATTTATTTTACAATTAAGCTTTATCGATTCCGAGTAGAGACATATGGAGGAAAATAAAATATGAATTTAATCTAAACGTAATTCATAAACGAGATACTTCTGTGTATATTAAATGCGATATGTTGAAAGGAAGAAAATTAAAAAAGGGATTTTTAAAATCCGTCATATTTGCGCGTGAAACTTCCTTCTATTAAATAAACAAAATAACAAAAAAAATTTGCTTCTAATATAAAAGTGATAATGATATATGATAAAATACATAGAAGAGAACGGAAAATGTATAAACAAAATAATTTCATTTTTAATTATCGTCCTCCTACGTTCTCAATTTGATATATATATATATATATCATATATATATATATATTTATATATAAATTCTTTTTTACTAGTTGTACGTTTGATTAAGTAAATTAATTATCTCGCGTATGCACGCAAGCACGAAATTATTTCATTTTTGTACTTACAACCGAAGCTTTTTTTCTTTTTATTTTA